AAATAAATCAATATGAATTTCTTTAAAACATTAAAGTTTCGGAAAAAGATGAGACACCAAAAGTATCAGGAAGACTATAATAATGAAAATGAAACTTATCACTTACAGTGTTCATATAAATCATGTTATTACACAATACAGAAAAATATTGAAGATTTACTTTAATCTTTTTCTTGGTAATCTTGAAAAGTAAACTAAATTATTTTAAAACTTTTTAAATTCTATTTCATTCTGTAGATGGGGAAAATCTTGTTACTTTCACAAGTTAGATGTAACTTAACCCCAAAATTAGCCACTTTAGGGGCTGAGTGAAGTGCTAACCTGAAGGCCGTTAACTTTGAGCAGGTAGAATCAGTGTAGGTGCAGAGAAGATGAACCTAGAATAAAAGGCTTCCAAAATAAAATAATAAAACTCCAGACATTTTTATTAGATGGATTTCAACTCAGATTATCTATTCCCTTACTTCCCATTGAGACTGTGAGCCTACCATGTTTTACTTTAAGATAGTGCCTTCTCCAGCCAACACAATTTCAAGGAATTGAAACCTAAAGATTCAAAAAGAGTCACAATCTATTTAACTAACTTGGTTCTTGGATAACACAAAATCAAATCATCTAAACAAAAGTACATTTTTAGTATTAATTTATGTTGAAAACTATTTAGATAGATTGATTACTAAATTTAAAATACATTTTAAAAGTAAAGTACTGTCTTAGGAATCACATTTCAAAATATGACAATATATTTATATCAGTATTAGGATCTTTTTTAAAATATATTTTTATTGATTTCAGAGAGAAAGGGAACGAGAGATAGAAACATCAGTGATGAGAGAATCATTGGCTACTGCACACCCCCTACTGGGGATCAAGCCCTCAAGCCTTTGACCAGAATCAAACCAGGGACCTATCAGTCTGTAGGCCAATATTCTATCCATTGAGCCAAACTAGCTAGGATAGAATTAGGATCTTTTATTCTATTTCATCATCTTGGAATCTAACACTTTAAAGTGTTAAAGAAATCCCCTCAACTAGCCCCGTCAGTGTGGCTGAGTTGGTCCCAGGTACTGAGAGATTGCAGGTTTGATTCCCAGTCAGGGCTCTTAATGGGTTACAGGATCCAACTCCAATAGTGGGTGTGCAGGAGGTAGCTGATTCAATGTTTCTCTCTCTCCCTCTCCCCTCCTCTCTCTCTAAAAATCAATTTTTTAAAAAAGGAAATGTCCTCAGTCTAATCTTTCTTCCATTGAGATGCCGGAACTTGGGGAGACATAGACACTTCCCTCAAGGATGTCAGTCTAAAGCAGTGATTCTCAACCTGAGTGTCATTTCTCTATAGAAGTATATCAACCAAACTAGTTGAATCAATGATTGAGCGTCAGCCTATGAACCAGAAGGTCATGGTTTGATTCCCAGTCAGGGAACATGCCCGGGTTGTGGGCTCGATCCCCAGTGGGGGAGGTGTGGGAGGCAGTCGAGCAGAGATTCTCTCTCATCATTGATGTTTCTGTCTTTCTCTCCCTCTCCAAACTCAATAAATATATGTGTGTGTGTGTGTGTGTGTGTGTGTGTGTGTGTGTGTGTATGTGTGTATATATATATATATTTTAGATATATATATTTTAAAAAATACCATATTCTCTGCAAAAAGCTATTATTTTGAAAAGCATATTTAATGTAATTTTTAAATGTAATGCCTACTATTTTTATGATATAACTATATAAATAAAGATGTACCAAGAAATTGGAGGTGAGCCGAAACCGGTTTGGCTCAGTGGATAGAGCGTCAGTCTGTGGACTGAAAGGTCCCAGGTTCGATTCTGGTCAAGGGCATGTACATTGATTGCGGGCACCTCCCTGGTGTGGGATGTGCAGGAGGCAGCTGGTCGATGTCTCTCTCTCATCGATGTTTCTAGCTCTCTATCTCTCTCCCTCTCTCTAAAAAAAAATCAATAAAATATATTTTTTAAAAAAAAAGGAATTGGGGGTGAGGGGTAATTGTAATGTTGTATTAAGTCCAAAGACAGGTTGATTGATTTTTTTTTAATGGAAGAGATTATAATGTTTTGCTGCTGATAAGAATGATCTATACAAAAGAGAAAACTAATGTAAGAGGGGGATGGGAAAGCTACTAGAGCCATAGCCTTAAATAAGCAGGAGGGATACTAGCATACAAGTATAAGGGCTAAACGATTATTGCTTGTCTCATGTTTTATTCTTATAAGTATATTTCCAGTAGGACATGATCTCACGCATCTAGGGGAAATGGTGAACAACATAGACGGATGAACAAGAACAGACCCAGAGATAAGGAGCCATGGGTCAGACTGTTGGACCTCAAAGGGAGGGTGGGGATAAAAGGGAGAGATCAACCAAAGGACTTAGGTGCACACACATGAGCCTAACCAGTGGTCAAGGACAATAGGGGGTGGGGGCATGAGTGGGGAGGAGTGGGGGTTGGAATGGGGGTTGAGGACAAATATGTGATACCTTAATCAATAAAGAAATTTTTTTTAAAAAAAGGCTAGCCTGAGGTAGGAGCATGAACAGTTCATCAGAAGGAGTTAGGGTGAAGGCAGAACATGAAAGTACAGGTATGGTAAGTGGGTTTGTGTTAAGGTGGGAGTATGTGGAAGTTCTTTTCTATAATATTCTCGGTGGAATAGAAAGCAAGAGTGAAGAGGGGATAGAAGATGCTGGCAGTTTTAGGAAAAAATAAAAATGAACATTATTAAGCATAGACTATGGAATGCACAGCTCCAAGTAGTATTATTTATGCAGACTGTGGTATGAATTGTGCCCCTAAAATTGTGCAATATGGTAGCCCTTTATGGAGTATACATATATATACCTTTTAGATAAATGAAGAAGCTAATTGTTTTGTTATATGACTAGTTTCATGCAACTTAGGATAAAATTTCAGTAACAGCAGCATACTTAGATTTACAAAATGCAGTATCAAAAACCACTTGGAAGTAATGACATATAGTAGGACAGTTTTCACATGTTTGGCTCATTTAACCACTAAAAATTTTTTGCAAAAGTGTATACCCCCTAATAAAATTTTAGGGTGACATCTAAAAACACTTTCAATCATTTGAAATAGTTGCAGAGGATATGTTTTCTAACATATCCAGTTGTACATATTTACTGTAAATATGTTATCATAAAAATATAAAGATTATTTAAATTCGATTTATGGAAGATGTGTGCCCCAAGGCTATACATCATGATAAAATCTGAAATAAATTGGAGAAATATCTTTTTCTTGTAATATGGGAGCAGGACAAGCCATTTATAGAAACGTGCTCATATAGAAGTTGGATTATGGAAATCAGTTTCCTTGAAGCTATTCATGCCCATCTACTCCCTGCTTATTTAAAGCCTTGGCTTAATAGCTGCCCCATCCCTCTCTCACATCAATTTTCTCTTTTGCACAGATTATTCTTGTCAGTAGCAAACCACTATAATATCTCCCATTTTTAAAAAATCAACCTGTCTTTGGACTTTATACACCTTTACAATTATCTCCAAATTAAGAGTCTTAAATTACCTATGGGGTAAATGTATACCACTTTGAAGATCTATCTGCTCTAAGATATGTAGATAATTCCTAAAGTAGCACTAATTGCTGATGAAGACATTGCTGTCAAATGGAGCCAAAGTAGAATGAATTTGTCTCATGAAATGTGAAAATGGAGGGGGAAATCAATTTTTCTTAATATCCTTAAAATATAATCGTGTAATTGAATTCCTATTGTAGATGTTTATTTTACTTATATTCCTTGAATTTTCTATACTTAAATTGCTGTTATCTTCTCATTGTGGGGGGAAAAAAAAGGAAAATGGCCTTAGATTTGGTATAAAGGCTATATACAGTCTCAACTGGCTGAACGGGGATCTATAGTCTTCCCATTATTAGGACCCTTAGTTACAAAGGCTTCCTTTATTCTGGATCCACAATAGTTCCCACAGTTGGTTTATCTAAAAATATGAATTTCAGTGGACAAAAAGTATCAAAATTTTAATCTGGAACATTCCAGAAACAAAATTGTATACAATACACACCCCAATTGCCATTATTGATTTGTATGTTATTTAATAATCACATAAAATGTTTATTTCTTACTAATCTGAGACAAATAGTAAAACTAGAACAACACCAGTAATAAGTGGTTAAGAACATAGTTTCAGTACTTAGTTAATATCACAAATCACTTAGTTTAATAGAATATAAAAATAAAGGAATCTGACAGGTCTAGGGATGGATCATGAACCCATTATTATTATTACTTAAAAAAAAAATCAAAGTATGTATCCTCTTGACATCATATTTAAGTAAGGAAAAAATGTGAACATTAGGCAAGAGTGAAATAAAAAAGTTAAAAAGTCAGCTTTAAATGAATTCATATGTTTCATTTGTTTTTAAAGGAAGAATATAGGTTTCATGGGAAACATTATTAAATATTGAGAAATATCCTTTGAAAAAGTAAGAATGTGAAATATTTCCTATGGAATTTTAGTCCACCATATCTAATTTCTCCCCATCCCTCATACCACCACACCACAATCCTTGCTTTCACTCTGCAAACACACGTCTCATATGAGCACATACACTACATAAATGACGCTTGGGTAGGGAGTTATAAGTAATATATAGATATTTAGAGAAAATTCAGTAGGTATTTTAAAAACCATAAACAGTGCTGAGAAAATAAAATATTTTGGTCACTTAGTATGCTACTAGCCCAACTGTTGTGGCTTAGTGGTTGAGCCTTGACCCATGAAGCAATATATTACCGGTGTGTTTTCTCCATTCCCGGTAGGGGGCTTGCAGGAGACAGCCATCCATGTTTCTCTCTCATCGGTGTTTCTGTCTCTACCTCTCTTTCTTCCTAGCTCTAAAATAAAGACATTTAAAAACTAAAACTAAACTTTTAAAATAATAAGTCCTAAATCTGGTTAATTATTGCATTATAATTGGTATTTTCTTTTCACAGGGCTTCATTATTTCAAAAATGTTGTGCTAGTGGGGTCGCTGCAGGATCGTTATGTTCCTTATCACTCTGCCCGCATTGAAATGTGTAAAACAGCTTTAAAGGACAAACAGTCAGGTAACAAAGTCATTAGAAGTATTTTGAAGAGTTATAGCTATACCTGAGTTTTCTCCCAAACGTTTCTTGTAGTCATTTTCTTCTTTGTCTCATCCTTCTTTTTTCTTTTACTTCGTTGACCACCCATTGATATTAACAGCTATCCTTTCTCCATTTTTCTTCCTTTCTTTGCTCCCACCACATCAGTTATTTCTACCAGTGAAACAGTAATAGTTCTTATGAAATAGCTCATCTAATTACAAATGCTTCTCCATTTTGCTGTCTCATAAACAATTTGTACTTTGATTTTCTCGGGATTATTGGGACTGGTGATTGGGGTCAAGCTACATGTTGGTCTGAACCTTCGTTTTGTACCTCAGATGGCAACAGGGAGTTGCACCACTTTATTGATAGTGGCTGATGAAGAATGTATTTATTTATTCTTCTGCTAATTTTGAATAACAAAAGAAATCATAGCTATTTGCTGCCAGAAGGAAACTTTGGTCCTGTTTGCTCACTTTGTAACTGGGGCCCAGAGATGCTAAGTGTCATATACAAAGTCCCTGGTGGTTAATTAAAGGCTTAGGATAAGAACTTGGGTGTTACCTCTGTGTTGCCTCTGTTCCTTTTTTGGAATAAGGTTAATTTTAAACAAATTCTTAAACCTTTGCTTTTCCCCCATTATGACAGTGAACAGCTTCTTTAGGCAGAGACTCTTAGATACATCGGTATTAGACTTGCCTAACAGGGTGTTGGCACTCTGCTCATTTAACATATTTCCTTAGCATTTTGTGACATCAGAATAACTTGTGTGTGTATGTGTTTTTACTTCTGTCTTAGTAAGAGTCCACTTTGGATAAAAATTTAGAAGAGATTTATTCAGATGGGTCACTAAAACTAGATAAATGTCCTTTGTTTTGCCGCTGTGGGACAGGGAAAATCTAATAGAGGTTTGGATTTCTTCCTATGTAAGAATCATTTTTAAATAGCTTGAAACCAGAAATCCAACTTGACTAGCAATGAAAACTAAGAGAAAAGATTGTCTGTGAATCTGTGTGATATTAATCTTCCTCTAAAATACTTCTCCTTTTTCTAATTGTACTTCTATAGATGATTGCCTTCTATTCATTCCTATCTGCCTCTCCTCCAAAATGTAATACCTGCCTTTATAAAATTTATAGGTTCTGTGGATATGTGTTAGCACTCATCTGTTAGTAATGAAGTAATGCATAAGCATTAACAACTGTTTTCCTCCTTATAAGTAGTTTGTGTTTTTATGTGTATGCATATCTAATTTTGATCTTTTATGCTTAGCATGACCTCAATAAGTCCATTATAAGAATTAACCAAAAAGAGAGAGAAGCATAACTTTAGAATTAAAAGCATAACCAAGCATTAAATAAATACTCAGAGCAGAAAAAAAGGATCTTCTTTGATCTTTGAGCCAAACTCACATTGTTCTTCTGACTAGTATAGAAAGGTGGCATTCTTCTCAAAATACAGGGATGGGCGAAAGTAGGTTTATAGTTGTGAGTACACGAACAGTTTATTTTTTGTATTATTTATTCCTTAGTTACTTTATTATTACTTATCCATTAATTATTGTATTATTTATTATTATTAACCTACTTTTTCCGATCCCTGAATTGTGGAAATATGTGGGGAAATGTCAACTGCTGTGGAAACTTGCTATAGACTAAAGTTTTAAATTTTGCCTTATCAAAATGCCTCAGCATGGCTACCTTTTCATGATTTAATAAATCATAGGTGACTTAATGTTGAAGAAAACTATTTGCTCTGTTATATTTATTGCTTTGAATTAAAAATATTAAATTGATAAGAATTATGTATAATAAATACGTTATTTTTACTTGGCTAGGTAAATAATAGTATCATGTTTTCTTTAAAACTGTCTCAAAAATGATAATTAAAGGAAAATAAAATCTTTCAAAATAACATTTAATACTTTTTTTATTGAATCGATTGAGGTGATATTGATTAATAAAGCTATACAGGTTTAAAGTATAATATAATAAAAAAAATAGTTAAACAATAGAAACAGAGATATAAATACATCAGGGGAGGAAGATTGGGAAGCTGAGTGGGAAAAGGTGAAGGGATTAAGCAAAAAATATATATATGACATATAGACATGGACAACTTTTTCTACTTTAAATAGAAATAAAGTAACTAAATTTTATAAATTATATTAAACTAGGCATAGAGCCCAACCAGTGTGGCTCAGTGTTTGACCTAAGAACCAGGAGGTCATGGTTCCATTCCCAGTGAGCCATTGCAGGCTCGATCCCCCAGGGGGGCCTGTAGGAGGCAGCCAATCATGATTCTCTCTCATCATTGATGTTTCTCTCTCTTCCTCTTTTATATATATATATATTAAAGTTTTAAAATAGCATAGCATATTTTCAGTTAATCATGTGAACTAATTTTACTTTTTCTCTTTTTCCATAGGACAGATCTATTCAGAAATGATCCACAATTTGCTTCGCCCAATTTTGCAAAGCAAGGACTGTAATTTGGTTCGATATAATGTCATCAACGCATTGCCTAATACAGCTGACTCACTCATTGGGAGAGCTGCACATATAGCTGTTCTTGATTCAGAAATATTTTTAGAGAAATTCTTTCTGGTTGCTGCTCTCAAATATTTCCAGTAGGATAAAACATTGTTACGATACTTAACAATTACCTCATTCAACAATGATTCAAATAATGTATTATATTTAAACTATAGATGCTGATAAGTTCTAAGAAATATTTATACCTTTTTATATGGAAGATAATTTATATCATCCATATTTAGTGCTTTTTAAACATCAACTTTACTTTAGAGGTAACATGGCTGTGCAATATTTTTTAAATTTTATCTTTTTACTTTTCTATTACTTTTTAATATATTTTGCTACATAAGTATTTCAGTGAAACTTTAAGCCCATATGTATATCTGATTATTATTGGCTTTCCACAATCCATATATTCAGACACATCATACTAGAGGCCATGATTGCAAGAACAGCATGGGATTTTAAATTTTCTAGTATTGAGTATATTTAGTTAGTTACAAATTTTACTTTTAACATTTTACCATGTTTTAACTGGAAATAAAATTATGGCTGCTAAAATATATTTTTTTTAAATCAATTCTTCAGCCCCGTCAAATGAGGTAGTGACAATGTTATAAAAGTTTTCTACAAAAATTCATTACTACTATTAAAACATATGTCATGCCTATTAAAATATATTTTCTACTAATGATTTCAACATTGTTTCTCACATTGCCTTTTATTACTGGAACTTTTCATGTTCATGTTAGCAACATCTAGAGATTTTTGAATGTTTGAATGCCTTGATTTAGTTGGAATTTTGTTAAATTTGGTAATGTTGCTTGAACTTTCTGACTACATTTCTTTTAACTTTTTTCATGGACTTCTGTACATAATAATTAAATGTTGAAATTTATGAAATACTTTTATGAATTTAGATAATTTTTAAATATTGTTAAATTTTGTTGAACTATAGAGTGATGTAAATAAAATAATTCATGTTAAAAATAGAACAAAATAACTAACTTTACATGTTTGGTGATACAGATGCAAATGTTTTTGATATGGAGATGATAAGACTTTACTAAAGGTGCTGAACAGCATTAAATTTTGTTTTCCTTTGTTGTTTTACTTGCGAAAATCATAGTGCACTTAGGTGGATAGAAGGTCTGCTTGCATTATTCACCAGTTGTGATTAAACGTAAGGTTTTTGTAAGTATGTATTGTATAATTGATGCATGTTTATTTTTAGCATTGTGTCACTGCCTCTGGTGTTAATAAATGAACAAATGACTAGAGGAACAGCTAAAACACTTGCTTATTTTCAGAATACTAGAGGTATATTTTTATTTATAATTGAATATATTAATTATAGGCCAGTATGATTATATAACATAGCTTTTGTAAAGTATTTTTATAACTTAAAACTTTTGCATATATTATACAGTATTTCATTGATTGCTCTCCATAAATCTTTACTTTTTAAAAAAGTACTTGAAAATTCAATGAAATGACTAAGCAATAATATACCAAGTGCATTGTAACTGGAAAATGTAAATATATGTATTATCTATCATGTATTTTGCCACACACATTTTTCATCTTCACGTATCTTGACCCTGAATTTGAAATGCCATGCTTATTTCTAAGTTTGAATAATCTCTTCCAGGATAATCAAAGGTTTCTTTTTACTCATAATCATATAATTGTATTTAAGGGTAGATTGCTCTTATGATCATGGTTGGTTAATTGGTTATTAGTTGTATTAATACAGTTTTAAAAGCCTATCCATAAACATGGTTCAAAAATCTAACAAACTTTACTTCTGGATCACCAGGGAAACTATCATATGCTATTCACCTCCAAATTCAGATTGCAGGAGTGGGTTGGGGAATGATTATCTGAAACAGAATAATTGTCTTTTAGAGATTGAAGTGTAATATATTAAAACAATAGAGGCCTGGTGCATGAAATCCATGCACTCGGGGGTCCATCAGCCATCAGTTGGACATCCTTAGTGCTGTCACAGTGGCAGGAGTCTCCCACCACTGCTGCTGCACTCGCCAGCTGTGAGCCCGGCTTCTGGCTGAGCAGCACTTCTCCTGTGGGAGCTCACTGTTCACCAGGGGGCAGCTCCTGTGTTGAGCATCTTCCCCCTGGTGGTCAATGCGCATCATAGACACCGTTCATAACGCCATCAGGCCAAAACTGGCTCTCTGATATCCCCGGAGGAGTCCTGAATTGTGAGAGGGTGCAGGCCAGGTTGAGGGACCCCATTGGTGCATGATCAGGGCTGGGAGGGCTCCAGAGTGTGTCTGGTCCATCTGGCTCAGTCCTGATCTGGACCCAGCAGCAATCTAACCTACCAATCAGAGCAACTGCCCCCTGGTGGTCAGTGCACATCATAGCAAGCATTTAAGTGGTCTTAGCATATCATTATATTATACTTCGATTGATTGATGGCCAACTGGTCTACCGGACACTTAGCATCTTAGGCTATTATTACATAGGGTATACCAATATGAATTCTTGGTTAAAACAACAACAGAAAATAAGATAAACTTAAGAAGAATATTAGGCAGCTCTTAGAATTGATGGAAAGGCTGGAGAACCAGCTCTGGTAAACAGTAGAAAATAAAGGAAGCTAGATGAGCAAAATCAGAACCATGTTCCAATCTCAAAAAGACCTGGAAGTTTTTTATATTTCTGATGGCATTGATAACTCTGAAAACTGGTGGGGGAAGGAGACTCTTGTCTATGGAGTGGGTCATTGTGATAGCCTCTAAAATGGCCTTCAAAAAACCCCACCTGCCTGTATTCACCCCTTGTGTAACCCCCCCCACCCCCCACTTTGAGAGTGGGATGGATCTAGTTTATTTCTCATGCTAGAATACAGCAAAAGTGATAGATGTCACTTCTGAGATGAGGTTCAAAATGACTCGTCTTGATCAACCCCCCCCCCCCTTTCCTCTTATTTGTTCAGTCTATGGAAAAAGCAGCTTCTCTGTTATGAGATGACCTTTGGAGAAGCCCACATAGCAAAGAACTAAAGGAGACATGTAGTTCAACTGAAACACCCTGCCAACAATCATGAGAGTGAGTGTGGAAGCAGATCCCTCTCCTAGTCATGCCTCCATAACTGCAGCTAACAGCTTGACTGTAACCTCATTTAAGAGGTAGAGACAGAGGCACTCTGGCACCTGGATTCCTGATGCACAAAAAGTGGGAGAGAATAAGTGTTTTTTTAAGCCATAAAATTTTGGTATAGTATGTTAGCAATGAAGTAAACTTGTTCTGATTAAGAGTCCTTTGGCAATGAGAACCTTTTTTGAGCATTCAATCAGATCAAAATATTCTTATGCTTTGGGGCCATTATGAGAGGTCCAATTCCACAGAAGTATCCCAAAGCTGTTTCCCAGTCTCTTACCACTTGACTAAATCAGTGCCCAGGAAATGTCATATCTCCTTCCAGACAAATTACAAGATTACGTTCGGCCCTCCAGGAGGATTTTTTCCCCTCGCTGCTGTTCTGAGGGTCTCTCATAAATGGGTCTTTAAAAGCCAAAGCCAGTCCCTTGCCAGCTGGGTCAGTGCATTTAACAAACTCATCTGTAATCAATCTTTAAAATATATATAATTGCTTTTTTTACAGAGAGGAAGGGAGAGGGATAGAGTGAGAAACATCAATGAGAGAGAGACATTGATCAGTTGCTTCCTGCACACCACCTGCTGGGGATGTGCCTGCAACCCAGTTACATGCCCTTGACCAGAATCAAACCTGGGACCTTTCAATCTGCAAGCCGATGCTCTATCCACTGAGCCAAACAGGTTAGGGCTGTAGTCCATCTTTGAGTTTTTTTTCTCACACAAGGAACTCCTTGTTAAACTGTAGATATTAGCTCTGGGTCAAAGTATGCTAATGAAAATTGGCTGTGGTTTGTTTTTGTTTGTTTGGGGGGGAGGGGTCTCTGGCCCTGTTCTGTATAAACCACTTCCTCTTAGTAAAAAAAAAAAAAAAATCTAAAAGGACCAGATAACAAGATAACAACCAGTTCAAGTTGGGAAACTCAGATTGCATAGCCACCTGACGTCAAGTGGTCAAAGTCTGGAGCTCTACACTATAATTCTGTTAAGACTTCCAGCTTGGCCAGTGAAGCTCAGTGGTTGAGCACTGACCCATGTACCAAGAGGTCCCTGGTTCCATTCTTGGTGAGGGCACATCTCCCCTTCAACCCCACCACCCCCTCTCCCTGTTTTGGGCTCCACCCCCAATAGGGAGCATGCAGGAGGCAGCCCATGGATGTTTCTCTCTGCCATCAATGCTTCTCTCTCTCCCTCTCTCTTCCTTTCTCTCTAAAATTAAATAAAAATTAAAAAAAAAAAAAAGACTTCCACGGGTTACATGAAGCCTCCTGGTCTGCCACATATGCTCCCAACAAATTGGAACTGTTGGAACTTAAGGGGCCAATTGGCAGGACTCCTTTCACAGCAGCCTGGACCAGACGGAAAGCTTTTCCTTGCTCTGTACTTCACCCAAAACTCATCTTTCAGGTCATTTGGTCAATGACTGACGAATGAGGAGTTCACTAAACAACAGATTAAAAAGTAACCGAGAGCGAGACCTGAGGGAAAAGGGTAAAAGATGCTCAATCTTTGTATACTTATAAAAGAGATCTCCCAAGAGACCTAATCCCTCAGATTTAGATAAACGAAATTATTCCCTCACCCCACTTCAGCCACGATGTGGGGGTTTAATTACCAATGGGCTTCGGAATAATTTGGGCCGCCGTCCCTCCTGGCCGCCTTTGTCTACAAAAAGCCTGAGCCGGCAGCTCTGACTCCGAACGCCGGAGGGCGGAAGCCCCGCCCCACGAGGAGGCCCCGCCCTCCCACATAGGCCCCGCCCACCGGCCTCACGCAGCCCCGCCTCCTGCAGGAGGGAGTCTGCGCCATGGCCGCCGCGGCGTTTGTCGGTCGTGCGCCGGCCTCAGCGTGGAGAACGGCAAGTAAGGCGCCCGGCCCCGGAGCCGGGGTCGCGGGCGGGGTCCCCGGCGCCGCGAGGAAGGGGAAGCCGATGTGCCGGCGGCGTTAGAGGGTGCGGAAGGCCGCCGAGCTCCTCGGTCACTCCGCTCGGCCCAGGCGGGTGCCGGCGGCCGGGCCCTCGGGGCTGGGACCGGAGCGGGACGATCCCAACGCCCTTCCCGCCGGCCGCCCGCTTCCTCCGGGCGCTGCCGGACCCGGGGCCCCCCCACCAGCAGACGTTCCCGGGGGCGTATTGGGGGACTTGCTCAGCGCACTAGCCTCTATGCTTGTGGCAAAAGTGGGAAAGTGGGCCCTTTGGGAATGGGAGTCATTGGCGTATTTATTTACATCACAGAGGATTTGTGCAGTTTACACTATGGAAAAAAAAAATTGGAAAAGTGCAGAAGCGGGCCACAGGCAAATAAATAATAAAAATTAGATGCAGCTAGGAATTGTTAATGCAGGGAAAGGACGGATACTTGCAGTGGAAACCGGTATTTCTTAGTCCCTTTTGGTTGGACATGTTCTCAGTGTAGCACAGACTTAACCCACAGAGTATGTATGCAAAGCATAGTTTTAACTTAGGACATCTGGGAGGAACTGTGTAAACTGAAAACAGGATTACTGCCCCTCATACTCGTGGGTCCCAAGTTTCTGTGCAGTTTGGTTTTCCTTCCTGTAATCATTTCTCCCCAAGCATATCATTTGTTAAGAGTAAACATTTTAAATGGTCCAGAATGAATAATATAAAAAGTGAAAGTCCCACGTTATCCAAACTCCAAGATATTAACACTAACATTTTGTTGTGTTCACACAACCACCCTTTTTTTGTTTTATTTTACTTGCTTTTTTTTTTCAACTGTGTATTTTGAGATTTCATCCATAGCTTTGTTAGAGGTTGTAGTTATTTGCTCAACTATGAAAACATATCGTACATTCTTCCATTCTCCTCAATGAGCATTTGGATAATTCTAGAAACACCAGGTTTGGTTGCTACACATTCTTATATGTTACTAGGGGCTCGGTGCACGAAATTCATGCGGGGGGGAGGGGGGGGATTGTGGGGGGGTGTCCCTCAGCCCAGCCTGCACCCTCTCCAGTCTGGGATCCTTCAGGGGATGTCCGACTGCCCATTTAGATCGGGCCTAAACCAGCAGTTGGACATCCCTCCCACAATCGGATTGCTGGCTCCCAAATGCTCACCTGCCTGCCAGCCTCATCACCCCCTAATGATTCCTCTGCCAGCTTGATGGATGCCTAACTGTTTCCCTGCTGGCCTGGTCGCCCCCAACTGCCCTCCCCTGCCACCAACTTGTGGTGGCCATCTTGTGACCACATGGGGGTGGCTATCTGGTGCAAGGGCATGATGGTCAATTGGCATATTACCTCCTTATTATATAGGATTGCAAGGAATGGGATTCCTGGAACATAAGGTATAGGTCTGTTCAATTTTACAGTACGATGCCAGTTATAAAGGCATTCATTGTCCATTCTTACTGGCAGCTTACACTTCTATCAGAAGAATATGAATTCCTGGTGCTCCACATACTTGCCAACGCTTGATATCATCAGAAATTTTCATTTTTGTGTGACTGTAGGATGCTGAAATAGTATCTTACTGCGATTTTGCTTCCCTATGGTGAGATAAATTAAAAATCTTTTCAAACTGTTAGTTTTGTTCTGAAATATCTTTGTTTTCTTCATGGATTGTTTGTCTTATTTATATTTTCCACATATTTTAATACTAAGCTTTTTTTAGTTTTTTGGGTTTTTAAAAATATATTTAATTGATTTTTCACAGAGAGGAAGGGGGAGAGAGAGAGAGCTAGAAAAATCGATGAGAGAGAAACATCGACCAGCTGCCTCTTGCACACCCCCCACCGGGGATGTGCCAGCAACCAAGGTACATGCCCTTGACCGGAATCGAACCCGGGAGCCAAACCGGTTTCGGCCCTTTTTTAGTTTTGTAAGTAGCAAATACCTTAGTTTGTGAGTTGTTTTTGTGACTTGTATGGTGACTTGTGGGCACATCTGTTTTTTTTAAGTCATGTAAGACAGTAGACAGAATACAGCAATGAATCTGTATGTACAATGACACAGCTTCAAAAATGTCTTGATTCATAATTTTATTTTAATTTTATAATTCTTTTATTGTCAGTGCTTTGTGATCTTGTCTAATAAAGTCTTTTCTACCCTAAAGTCATAAGTATATTTTTCTATATTTTCTTCTGAAAGCTCTATAGTCTTGTCTTTTATACTTAAACCTTTTTTGTTTCTTTTTTGTTTTTTTAACCAGGAATTGATTTTTGTGTATGGTGTAAGGCAGGAAACCAATTTCATTTTTTTTCATAGCAATAACCAGTTGTCCCAGGTCCCTTTCTCGAACTGATATGTTACCAGCTATTCATAAATCAAGTTTCCATGTAGCCCTAGCTAGTTTGACTCAGTGGATAGAGCATCGGCCTGCGGACTACAGGGTCCTGAGCTAATTCCGGTCAAGGGCACATACCTGGGTTGCAGGCTGAGGGGATCCGCAGGAGGCAGCGGATCAGTGATTCTCATCATTGATGTTTCTCTCCCTTTCCCTTCCTCTCTGAAATAAAAATATATTTAAAAAATAAGTCCCTAATTTAAATAAATAAAATACATCAACTTTACATTTTATATATTATGTATGTATGATGTGTGTGTGTGTGTGTGTGTGTGTGTGTGTGTGTATGTATATATATATATATATATATATATATATATATATATATTCCTCTATAATAATAAAAACATATCATACTAATTAGACCAGACGTCATTCTGGACGAAGCTGGGGCCAGAGGGAAGCCCTGGTCCCAGGTGCCAGAAGGAAGCTGGTGCCAGCAGCCAGGAGAAGGAAGGCTTACTCTTGCACAAATTTCTTGCATCAGGCCTCGACTATACGTATTCCTGAATTTATTTCTTTGACTCTTTTCAGTTGCATTACTCTATTTGTCTGTTCATGTACTGATGCCACCTGCCTTTAATAACCTTACCTTTGTAATTAATCTCGATATCTAGTAGGGTAAGACCTCCTATCTTGATTTTTCAGAAGTGTCTATTCTCGGGTATCTGCTTTTCATATCAAATTCTTTTTAAAAATAAATAAAATTCCTGTTGGGATTTGATTAATACTGCTCAATTTTTTTGTTGTTTTTATTGATTTTATTATTTTTTTAAAATTTGTATTGTTGCAAGTATTATGAATGTCCGCTCCCCTCCCTCCCCCACCCCCACCGGCCACTTCTATCCAAAACCCACCTCCCATTCCAGGCCTGAATTCACCGCACTGTTTTCTTTGTCCGTGGGTTATGCATATGTGCATGTAAGTTATTTGGTTAATCTCATCCCATCCACTCACCCATCCTGCCTTATTTCTGAGATTCTATAGTCTGCTCCATGTTTTATATCTCTGGATCTATTTTGTTCTTCAGTTCATTTTGTTTTTTAGATTCCACATGTGAGTGAGATCATGCGAGTCTTGTCTTTCTCTGGCTTATTTTGCTTAGCATAATACCCTCCAGGTCCCTCCATGCTGTCTTAAAGGGTAAGAGATCTTTTAATAATGTAAATGAACCACAGCTTTTTAAATATATATAATTTGTATTGATTTCAGAGAGAAGGGAGAGGGAGAGAGATAGAAACAGCAATGATGAGAGAGAATCATTGATCGGATGCCTCCTACACTCGCCACACTAGAGATCAAGCCCGCAACCTGGGCATGTGCCCTGACCAGGAATAAAAGTATATTTAAAAAAAATATTTTGAAGATTTCCTTCCAATTTCTCCTATCTTGTAATGTTTCTATTGAGCAATCTGAAGATGGTTTAATAGGGTTTCCTTTGAATGGTACAGTCCTGTTTTCACTGGCTGCTTTGAGAATTCTTTCTTTGTCATTAATTTTTGATAGTTTCAATAAAATGTGTCTTGGAAATGTGTCTCGGAAAACATCTTTTTGGATTGTAATAATTAGGTGTTCTCTATTTGAAAGTTCTATTCTTTCCATGGGCTTGGAAATTCTTATCAATTATTTCTTTTAGTAGGCTCTCTGTTCCCTTGTTTTCTTCTTCTTCTGATATACCTGTTACCCTTATGTTGCTCCCTCTGATGTAGTGAGATAGAGTTCTTTCATTAAAAAAACAAAACAAAAAAAACTCTCTTAGTTCTCTCTTTTCATCTTCCTGGGTCATTGCTAGGTTTCTCCCTTTAAGGTTGTTAATTCTCTCTTCTATCTGGTCTGCTCTATTTCCAGTGTGCCCTCATACATTCCTCATTTCATTATTGAGTTCTTCAGCTCCAGAATTTCTGGGATTCTGTGAGACTTTAATGAGGAATGGATTGAAAAATTATTTCTCAGAGAATTTGCTTCTGCTTTGCCATATGCCTGAGAGCACTTCAACGTGGGCCCACTTTAACAGTAAGATGCCCCTCTTGGCCTGGAGGGGGGATATGTGCCACGCAGATAGTGTATAATCAGGAATAAACAAAGATGTGGTCAGCCCAGTGGCTTCAAAATATCACAAGGGGCTTCTTTTTCTGCATCTCCATTCAGACAGGAATCAGTATTTAAAACTGATTCTACTGTTTTGATAATGATTAACCAGCTTATTTCAAAGCTCTTCTTTTCACACTGATAACAATGGTTGCCTCCAAGGAGGTTGTCTGGAAAATATGGACTGAGGGAAGAATTTTCACTGTATGTGCTTTTGTACTTTTTGAAAATTGACAAATAAACTAAAAACAAATTCAATAAAATTACTAAATTTTAAAAATAGAATAAATGAACAGCTTCTATTTTTTCACTATCATCACTCTGCTAGGATCCCCCCTTCTGTGTCTTTCTTTGAGGAAAACAAGTTCTTCTCAAGGAGAAAAGTCTGAGCCTACCAAACAACCCCTAAAGAAGCCAAACTTACCACAAGGCCGTTTTGATGCACCAGAAGATGATACCCATTTAGAGAAAGAACCACTGACCAGTAAGTACAGTGAAGCTGCTCACATTTTAAGACTGCACGGTAGCTCAGTCATGGTGTCCAGCCTCCTAACTGCTTAACTGAGCAACCTTGTCTTCAAAATTGACCATACTGCTTTTCCTGTCTCTATTGACTGCTTTGTTCACATCTTCAGGATTTCCAGATGACGTTAATCCTGTTACCGAAGAAAGAGGTGGACCCAGGGGCCCAGAACCTACCCGATATGGAGACTGGGAACGAAAAGGACGCTGTATTGATTTTTAAGCCGCATATTCTTTAATCTCTATCTTTTTCTGAATACACACATCTGAATTAATTTATTTCTGCTGCATATCCTTTAATATTCTGATTTCTATAATGTATTTAAAAGTATACTAGTATATGATGGCTTTGGAAGAAAATATGCTGCCAAAAATTAGGAAAGGGAAAATATTTCTGCATTAACATATTAATTTTAACTTAAATGTATTGGGGTATATAAGTGATGATTAGAATTGTACACTTCTTTCATCATGTCTTAGTTTAATCAGCCAGTTATAAAATGCAACTGTAAATAAAGCAACTTTTTAAAAATGATTGTATTGCCTTGTGCTAGATGATACTGACTTTTTATTTTTTATATTTTTTTCATTTTTTTATTAAGGTATTATATGTATACATCTTACCATTGCCCCCCCGCCCCCATTCCCATACATGCCCTCACCGTCCCCCAGAGTTTTGCGTCCATTGGTTATGCTTATATGCATGCACACGAGTCTTTCGGTTGATCTCTTATCTCCCCCACCTTTCCCTAACCTTCCCACTGTAATTTAACATTCTGTTTGATGCTGATATTGATTTTTTAAAAGTGAGTTAAGTAGTACATTATATTTAAGAAAGCCACAGTAATAACAGAGAGTCTTTAACTTGGAGCCAAATTACTTGGGTACAAATCCTGCTTCTACTACTTACTAGCTATGTGACCTTGGGTAAGTTATTTAATTTCTCTGTTTTAGTGTCTGTATGTGTAAGTTGGAGATAAAATTAGTTCTACCACACTGAGCAGTTAAGATTTAGTGAATAAAAACCTGAAAACCACTTGGCACAGTATATAGCACTTACCTCTCAGTAATGTTAGTTGTTCTTAAGTCATGAGTGTATTTTGCCAAGTCTCTAGGCTTCCTGCAAGGTGTGTGTGTGTAGGAGGGAGTGGTTGGGGGAGGGGCTGGATTAAGAAACTGAAATTTGAAATACAGTGGAACCTCTGTTCTTAAACTTAATTTGTTGCAGAAGCTATTTGTTTGAAAACCGAATCATTTTTTTCCCATTAGAATTAATGTAAGCCGTAGCTGGTTTGGCTCAGCAGATAAAAGTATTGGCCTGAAGGGTCGCATGTTCAGTTTTGGTCAAAGGCACGTGCCTGGATTGCAGGTTCAATCCCCAACCCTGGTCAGGGCATGTGTCTCATGTCGATGTTTCTCTCCTTTCCACTCTCTCTCAAAATCAGTGGGAAAATATCCTCAGGTGAGGATTAACCAAACAACAAAAGAAATAATGTAAATTGAATTAATCTGTTCTAGACCCTGAAATGATTCTGTTTTAACCTTTTTTATATTCAGTACTTGTCTAATATACTGTTTAATCTATAAGTGAACACTTTTTTTCTTATATTTATCAAACCATCCCCTACTAGCTTTAAACAAATCACTTTCCTTTTTTTTCCTTTTCTTTTTTTTAATATATTTTATTGTTTTTTTTACAGAGAGGAATGGAGAGGGATAGAGAGTTAGAAACATTGATGAGAGAGAAACATCAATTAGCTGCCTCCTGCATACCCCATATGGGTATGTGCCTGCAATCAAGGTACATTCCCTTGACCGGAATAGAACGTAGGACCCTTCAGTCTGCAGGCTGACACTCTATCCACTGAGCCAAACTGGTTAGGGCAAATAAATCACTTTCAACACTCAGTCCAGGGGAGTCTTTTAGGTCAGCATGCAGCATCTTTTTTAGCATCTTTTCTTGTTCATATATCATTGCCTCCAAAATGGCTGTCACTGGCTACCTGCTTTTCCTTCATCTAAATGAACAGCAGTGTTTCTACCTCTTCACTGGTCTCTGATCATTGTTTCTTTCACACCCTTGGCAACATTAGCATTCTTGATGGCCTTTTTATGTTTTAAAATTGTGCTAATCTTTTATTTCCCCAGACACAAAAGCATTTTCTCCTTTGTTGACTGAGAAACACTTTTTGTCATGCTGAGGTATCAGCTTGAAAGGGTTGTCAGACAACTGGGACATTTTTTCTGTGAACAACTTGGTTGAGAATGGAATTGTTCAATATAGGAGACATTTGAAAAATGAGGTTTGACTGTACTTGAGTTGAAATTGTTTTATATGAGTATAAATAGTATGAAAAAGCCATCAGTTGGAAAATTAGTGATTATTTGCATAGGTGAACTGATGATATATATATTCATTTGTGAAACATGAAATTCAAGTACAGAGGGCAAATATGAAAAAAGCAGTGCTTAGAATTGACCAGCTTAGTTCTGATGAATCACTACCCCTGTGGCCTTTGGATAACTAACTGGGTCAGGAGAAGTCAAGTCCAGTATACAGATTTGGGGTGAAGGAAGGATGGGAACTGCTGGGGCCCCTCCTTAAAGCCTCCTTTGCTATTTTGTGGCCTCAGCTACAGGGATTGGGCCTTCAGAAGCCTCAGGCTACACTTAAATTAGGAAGAAAGCTTGCAAAGCCTATAGACAGAATGCAGTGGACTATTTGTGTCTTATGAATCAAGTGCAATGAGAAGATTGTAGGGAGACTTGTTAAAGAGAACAAACTTTTTAAAAAGTATATTCTCCACAGAAACTAGTGTGGTAATTGGGACTAGTCATTCGGTCTTCATACCATTCTCTCTTAGTCAACATTTGTTCTCTAATTGCAGTTACTGTGTATACTAAGTAATAACCACATTCCTATAAAACTAAGCTGTAATTTAGTCAACCTCTAATTAGCCCAAATTAGTGAAGGTTTTTACTAAGTTAATACCAGGTTGGCTGACCCTCAAAATGGTGCCAGCGCCCAGGGACAGGGAGTCAGATTTAAAGGACTCCAGGCGGGCTTTTTCTGGGCAGAGAATACTCCGGATGGATACAATCCTGGGAAGGTCCAGAGGGGAAGGATAATGGTCTTAGCAAGTGGAATGTGGTCTATGCCAATTGTGAAGTGATCAGACCTAACAGTTCACATTTCAGAAATACTGTGTTATTTTGTGTTGTCTAGTTTTGCTTGGATTGCACACTAATCATCATGATTTGTGACTGAGAAAAGGCAGCTTACATACTTTAAAACTAATATAAGATGTGTAACAATCTAAGTATCCTATCTAATAAAGAGGGAATATGCTAATTGTCATGCCCTCACAAAGATGGTAGCACCCATAGCCAATAAGGAGGGAATATGCTAATTGACTGTCACACCCTTAAGGATGGCAGCACCCACAGCCACAAGATGGTGGCACCCAGGCCCCTCAGCCCCACCAGGGCAGCTGGTGCACAGCATGGCCAGGCCTGCCCCCAGGTGGGTCTGGCCATGCTGTGCACCTGCCTCTGGAGTTCCCAGTTCCCTCAGCCCCCAGCCACCCAGGGCCAGCCCGAGGTGTAGGCAAGCCTCAGATGGTGGCTGCCCAGCCACCCAGGGCCGCCCGAGGCCCAGGTAACCAGGGTGGCCAAGGTTTTCACTGCTGGCAGTGGCAGCAGCAGAAGTGTGATGGGGGCATTGCCTTCCCCTGATCACCGGATTGCCTCCTGCCTCTAAGGGCTCCTGGACTGTGAGAGGGGGCAGGCTGAGCTGAGCGACCTCCCGCCTCCTCCAGTGCATGAATTTTCATGCACCAGGCCTCTAGTCCTATATAATAAAAGGCTAATATGCAAATTGTCCCCTTGACTGGGAGTTTGACCCCAGGCAGCCAACTGCTTGTGGCCTCTCCCCCCAGCCAGCCCAGCCTGATCAGCCCCAATCAGGGCTGGCTGGCTGGACCCCACCTGGATACAAATTCATGCACTCTTAATAGTAACAGGGACCTCTAGTATTAACAGAATCCTTCAATTTTGTTAATAGTAACATGATTCATCAAAGTGTGGACCAAAAGGGACCACTTTGCTAACCTGATGAGTTCAGGAAAGGCCTGTATGTTGGCCTTGCAAACTCAGAGACCTAAAGTAACCACAAAGGATGGTCTAAAATTATAACTTTTTAATTAAAAAGAAATCTATTAGTCATGTCCTAGGCTGGTATATTCTCTGACAAAGATCAACTTGGGCTGAAACCGGTTTGGCTGAATGGATAGAGCATTGGCTTGGGGACTGAAGGGTCCCGGGTTCAATTCCGGTCAAGGGCATGTACTTTGGTTGCGGGCATATCCCCAGTAGGGGTTGTGCAAGAGGCAGCTGATAGATGACTCTCTCTCATCGATGTTTCTAACTATCTCCCTATCTGTACAAAATCAATAAAATATATTAAAAAAAAAAAAAAGATCAACTTGGATCTTAATTGAGCCGATTGTCTTTTTGCATGTATGATAACATACCTTTGGATTGTCAGGGTAACTTTTAACTTCCCTTTTTCCGGACCCCACAGAGCACAACCTGTATGCCAGGGTGCAGACCACAAATTCCCTCATTGCTATTGTGTTAATTGTTACTGTTAACTATCCTATTCCCGTTTGTGTAAAAGAAGCATGTGTCTATCATTTTACTTTTTACCCAACTCCAGAAATTTCCCTGCTTTGCTTTCTCCCACCTCCCTAATCTGTCACCAATGGATTTCATGTAACCCAAATAGTCTCCTCCTTTGATGGTAATATATAAAAATAGGTGGAAAACTGCCATTCTCCAGAGCATTATCTTAATTCATTGAGAGTCTGCTTCCTTGCAATTGTCAACAGTTTGGCTCAAATAAACTCACAAAAATTCTTTTCAGGTTTGAATGTTTCTTAAGTTAATAATAGCATAAAATTTTGGTGGCATGAAAATATTTATGGATTTTATGTCCATCACACATTAACAGAAAAGCCTGAAGACTTATAAAAGGTGATGTGGCAATGGAAGTGCATCACTCAAATCTCCACCTGAAGGAAGTAGAATCAACTGAGAACTCCAGCTGCTGCCCCATTGGATCCACTACTGGAAGCTGGCTTCATACAGATATGTATCGGTAGTTGGATAAGGGAAGTACTAATTAGTCAAATTAAATGTGCTGAGGCCATGCTTCCTTCATGC